GGAAATACCGTATGCGAAAACCTATAAAAAAGTGCTTTTGGATTCAAAAAAAACTATGTCGGCAAAAAATGCCGCCTGCTCTATGAGGAAATGTCCACTGTGCTTTAGACCGGTTTTTTCTACTGATGTTCGTAAACGTCTTCCACTTATTAGAAACATCATTTTTGAAAACGTTCTAGCACTCTTTTAGAAAGCGCTAGTAATTTTAGTGGAAACTGAGATGCTCAAGGATAAATGTTTAAATGAACAAAATGAATAGTCATACAATACTGGAATAGTTCTGACAGCGGACACCAATGAGCAAAAGCTTGAATGCTCAATACTTTTGATTTGTTTTATCTCAATTAACGCTGTCATCTTGACCTAATAGCATACAAGTTCTTCCAATCTGGTCTATGCTATTCATTTGGTGTTATGTATTATATTAAATCATGCTCCATATAGTGTAAAATAGTATATGCATCATTTTCATTTTAAAATAGTCAACTTTTTGCTTCTTTCACAAGTCTGATATATCGTTGAATGGAGTAGAAACGAAGATTGCAAATGATATATTAGTCCACTTGAGAAAGGATCTAAATATAAACAAATATTTGAATACTGATTGATTTATCAGGTATAAATAAAGCTTAGATTTGAACATATTTCAGTCTAGTGTGATGAGTTATGGGCTATTTCAAACGAGAAGAAACTTCTTACATCGAAATTCTATATTCTTGGGGTAAAATCAGAGAAATCAACAGCGAACGGATTTCACCAGGAAACAACACCCGTTTCTTCTCCTGTGACAATCGTAGAGGATAATCTGTCTTACAGTTAGCTAACGAATATCAGGAGCAGCTATTATCGAAGTACAAAACCGATCTCTAGGAATATTGTTTTGGGGACACTCTTTGTTTTTTGTTTATTTAAATCCATTCATAAATAAAAGAAGCTAAACAAAGAACAAAGACATTCGGAAAAAAAATAGTTTTAAGCAGCAAGCGAGTTCGGTTACAATTGTTTCTTTCTTGAATTAATATTATAATAACACATTTCCGATGACATGATGAATATTTAAAAGTCGACCAAAGCTAATTTGATGTAGTAGCTCTGTTTCTTTGTTGCTGTAGCTGTAAAGCACTTACATGTGCTGATGTTGATGGTAATGATCGTGTCGTCGATTTATTTGGCATGTATAAAATGTATATTAACAACGGTAATGTTTGTATTCCACACATACTCAACATAACTAATATATTATTCAACATTTGTGAATTAAATCTTGCCGAATTATAAGAAATTAACAGGCGATATATTTGAAATGGCCAATATGCTAATATATACCAAAGAATATATATTAACATTTGTGAACAAATCTTGTTCATTGTTGACCATCCAGTTGAAAAATGTTTTCGTTTTGAATATAAACGATAAAATAATAGACATGTAAACAAAATCATTGTTAGCATTGGCAAAAAGAATGAATAAGCAAACCAAGCTAGAACAACATGTTGATAAACAAAAAAACATGGTGCACATGGTACATAAACTGAACATTGAGGAATAAATACAAACAGAGATGTACTACAAAATACAAGTGATAACATTAACAAAAATGCGATCAGCTGACGTCTGTATGTTAATTTTTTGGTATTAAGAGAAAACATGAACAGGTTACGTTCAATACTTGCCCAAGCCAAGAAATAACTAAAATTTAACAATTCTATGATTAGTTCAAACTTTAGAAGTTGAAAGAAAAAAGACAAAACATATATAATGAAAACGTCATCAGAGTTTGTATGAAAACATTTAATTTGTGGTCTTTTATTCGAAATCCATATAGGTTACTTCCTTCATCCGACCGAAATTTAAGCCTATTAGTGTAAAAGTAGTCGCAATTTGGAACGAGTAAATTTTATTATTCTGCGCTTCCAAAAAGCGACCACTTTTTAATTAATGAGTAATCAACAATCGTAATTCAAAATACAGAAGTAGAAATAATATCACAAAAGCATGCACTATGGTCACACTACAGCTTCAATCATGATTAAGGTTAATTATAATTAATGATTTTGTTGTGTGACCGTATCCTTTTCTAATCATGATTAGAACAGCCACACTACATTTAATCGCGATTAACATCAACTAGGTCGGGCGGTACGCCAGTTGTATGTGCACGTCACGTACACTTGTCTATCACGATTGGTACGTGTAATGAAAGTGCATACACGATGCTCGTACCCAGTGTGACATGATTTTCCCTCTTGACAGTTTTATAGTAAAATGTTTATCTGATATCTATGAGAAACCTTTAAAAATGGTACATAGTGCACATTGTACGTATGACATGCATTTTGTATAGTACCCGTGCGTTGTGTACAGAGCGTGGCATGCGGGTACGGGGCCCGTTCTGGTTAATCGCGATTACGCTATTCATCTTCCAATCATGCATTAAGTTAATCACGATTAAGGTCGCGGTCACACCAGAATTAATCGCGATTGATTAGCGTAATCGGAATTAATGCAGTAGTGTGACCGTACTGATATATATTAAGCGTATATAATTAAACAATAGAAGTAGCGACATGTAGAATAAGAATTGGTGACTATGTCTTCATAAATCCAGTTTCATAAATCACACATTTATGAAAATTAAAAGAGGTTTCATAAAATTTTTCATTTTTATGTGGCTAAAAAGTCAACATCCAAGTTTTGTAAATTTTATGAAACTTGGAAAGAAATTTCATAAATAAGTGATTTATGCTGTTTCAGGTTCAGTTAATTAGTTCCTTAATTCATTGTAGTATTAGTATGTCACATAGAGACATATAACATTATACAATAATATCTCACTACGATAGGTATAAGTCACTTAGAGACAAACTGATTCAAATAAAAATATGAAATTTTATTCTAAAAGTGTATATACAAGTCTTTAAGTGACATGTGAGTCAGATATATGCAGTTACCTTAATTGATCAGTTAAACCAATTTAATTAACAACAATCGGTCTCTAAGAGGCATGTGCTACTTAATTGAGAAAATATTTCTCTGAGAGTCATATGAAACTTTTTACAAGTTTCATAAAAGTTTTCATTTTTATGAAACTTTTGGGTTAATAAATTCAACTTCCAAGTTTCATAAACGTGTGATTTATAAAACTGGATTTATGAAGACAGGATATCCCGTGACTACATATTTATGTATTATCCAAGATTGTTCGAGAATAGCGAGGACCAATGGTCTTGTATTCGTACAAAAGAAAGGATCAAACTACTTAGAAACTTTTTTACTTCTATGTCGTAAATCTTGGCTATAGGTTTATCGGCATTAGTTAATACTCGCCATTTCAATCCAATTATACAGTCTGGACATTATCAGGTAATTTTGGATCATGATTGTGATTTGTAGCACTGGATTTTGTAACTGCATTATTTTTCAATGCAACAGCATGAGAACAGGATCTGAATGTACAGACGTATACTAACGATACTTCTATATTTATATTATCAACAAAACAGAACTCATGATCAAATTTTGCAACGACTAATCATCTTATAAAATATTGTTTTGTGAGAAATAACTATTAGGATATGTTTTACTGATTATTAATCAAAATTACTCATTTTGCTTTGAGAGTTGCTTCTTATTCTGACGTTCGTCCATAAATATAGGCAATATCTATTTAAGTACAGCTGTATATTATCCATAAATATATAGTTACCAATTCTTATTATATATGTTTCTAATTTTATTGTTTTTAGAAAGTGACTAATTTATATATCTATATTTAAATTACGATTGTTTATTACTCTTTAATTAAAAAGTGGTCGCTTTTTGGAAACGCAGAACTCGTTCCAAATTGCGACTACTTTTACACTAATAGGCTTAAATTTCGGTCGCATTTAGAAAGCTACGTTAATATGGCATCTCAGACTAAATAGGAGGTCTCTTCCTAAAACTTGTCATCGGTCAACACTGTTATCTGTCTCGTACTTTCTTTAGTCTTCATCCTAATCTCAGCAAAAGTTAGCCGTGGCGGTACAATATTATTATTATTATTGTTGTTCTCTCTCATAGAAGACCACCAATATATCACTTTCACTTTGGTGTACAAACAGGGTACTTTAGTATTAAATAAACTACAGCATTTTGGCACAAAATGTTGTTGTCAATGTATGTTTGATCTGTATATTTCCCAGATTTCCTAACAACGAGCGGTTCTTCAAACCAACCAAATCTACCAATAAAACTTTTTGCGCTTGATCTCAACTATATAAGTCACGTTTTTCTCAAGTACTTTCATTGTTATCGAAACATAGCAGAAACGACGAAAATGTTTGTATTTTTTGAAATTTAAAAGTAATTTAGATTAAATCTTCCTAGCATTCTGCACAATTGCATTTTCTGACTTCAAAAGAAATCCCTATCGGTTCTTAGTATTTCAAGTATTTTATAATCGGACACAGTCTTTCATAATATCGTTCGTTTAAGAATCAAAATAATCTAATTCTTTTCTTTTCTATTAGAAAAGTGATCTTCTTTTCAACTTGTGCTCTGGTTTCGACAAAAACTTTGAATCCGCAGCGTTTCACCTGACACTTAGTCAGCTATCTTCCGATGTCTTCGTTTCACTTCTTTCCTATAAGATTCTCGTTGGCTAACTCGAACATTCTAGATATTTTGACCAGGCTATATAACATAAGTTGAACTTAAGCAAGTACGATGCAATCTTAGTTTTAATCGGGTGTCGCAGTGAATCTCATTCAAGTAACTTGTTGTTCATAGTAGAAAAATGTTTCTATGTTGATGAATATGTGAGATTTGCGTTGATATTAAACCGTTGATAAGCGAGAAGTAAAAATGCAATAACGTTTTCTACTAGACGGATCTTTTTGCATCGTTTTTTTATTTATTTGTCTAGAGTTTGCCCACTACTACTAAGCGCAGCAGCTCTTTAGCTGCTTTTGTTACTGCGATATAACAGTTGCATTGTCGCACGCCAAGCTTTTGGATGCTCTCTGCCGTTAAAAAATGAATTTTTCTGTAAAGATGGAATGAGTTCTAATTCTCTTTCTTAGAATAATTTGAAGTTGAAGACTAATTTGCTCGAAATATACACAGTTTAATTTAAATTTCTATGCAAATAAATCAAAATATTGTTGTTACAAATACTTTAGTCTTTTTTTGTCCCGTGAGATTGAACTCGCATATCTCAGCTAAAACTAAATGAAATATAAATGGAAAATAGCCAAAAGATAGCCCATAGATTGAAAATCAATCAAAAAAATAAAGGATAAGTGTGCTTCTTACTGCAAAAGTGACAATTACTTTTTCTGAAAACAAGCTTCACACAGTAAATGTTTCATAAGATTTTTAATTTTGTTTTTCTAATATCTCCGTTAATGCTCAACTTCTCGCAGAGATTCTTTTGTATTTTTTTCCCTTTGCGATAATGAAAAATGTCCCGTGAGATTAAACCCATCATGTCCTCATGAAAAATACGCTGAATTTAACTTTATCGTAAACCATCTGATAACGCTTGGCAATACAAAGTTTAGCTAGCCAACAAAATCTGGTAGCCTTATCACGTTGTAATTGCTTTTTTGAAGCTCAATGATACATTTTTGAACTCTGCATAACAGAAGCTTTCTCTGGCAATAAAACGAATTAAATCGCGAATTTTTAGCGAAACCTCATGGCGATCTACAGACTCAAGTATTAAGACAAAATTTTCAAGACTATTTTATGTCGTCTTTATTGCAATGGGTTCGAGGATCATTATGCTTTTCGTAGGGAAGACCCGTTTTCTGAGAAAAATGAAAGTGGCAGTCGGAAAAGTTAGTTTTTTTTTTATCATCGCTTTGGCTATCAGAATTCATTGAGATACTTAAAAAAATTGTATAAGACAGTTTATTTTTACGATTTTTTCACAGAAACGGCAGAATGACATCGCAAATAGCGTATATGTCTTTATAATATCGGGATTATTAGAGAATTTAGCAATGAAATATAAACGAGTTTACATACGGTATTCCCATATAGATAGCATAATTATTCAAAGTATACATTCGACAGTAGGCAATGGAATAATTAAACCACAATAAATAATAACCAAATATAAAACCACTGTTAAAAATTGCAGCACTCATAAACGAAAATAATAATGCATAATGAAATATATAATTAAATCTTGTTTGTCTCTCATCCTGTTGACGATATCGATTTAAGCATAATAGCGAAAATATGATATTCGTTGCTGATGAAGCAGAAAATATCATTATAGGATACAAATTTAAATCAAACATTGGATTTGGTGGTCCAGCAAAAGCTGTTGGTAATAAAGTTGCATTTAATGTCATGCTGAACGGATACTTTACGTCTGAAAAGTAAGTAAAATTCACAAAGAATAAGAAATGATATAGATATCTTTCTTTTATTATTATTTCGTTATTTCATTTTGGCATATATCAATCTAAACGTAAGTATTCTTTTTTGATATCATTCATGACACCAACATGCAATATTCTTTTCCTGTCTCTCATTTGGATGCAGCATCACATCAATCTGACAGGCAATGACATCATTAAACCAATTATTTCTAGTATTTGTTGGAAATCATGCAACATCAAATCATGTACAGAGTTCATAAACTGTTTCAAGAACGAGGGCGAAACGATGACCGAATAGAATGTTCAAACAACTTCTGTTTGTCTGAAGGTTCTTAGTTGAAAAACAAGCTTTTTTTGGGCTTCTTTTGACGAAAAAATTAAACAACTGGCTTAATCCGGCTGAGTACATCCATAAAACCATGGAAAAAGTAAAAGAAAACATTACGAATCAGTCTATACCCCTTGACAGTAATAAAAGTGAATAACAAACATCGTTATGATTTTGCTTTAGGTCGCCGATAGAAGGACTGATGTGGTACAACCTGAAATGATCGGACGTATGTAGAATAAGCAGAACTAAAACAGTTAAAGCAGCTTAAGAATGGAATGTATTTTACCAATGGAATTTATTTCTAGAGTAACAGTTCTGCGCTGAATATAGATAATTTACACCGTACCATCAGCAGATAAAAAACATGCAAAAATTTCTTATACCAGGTCCACTTTTGGAGATTATGATACGTTAATAAAATTAAACTGCAACAAAATAGCTAAAGATATCGGAAAAAAATCAAGTTTTCACTCGAACTTTTACTTCACAGTCAATTTTCATCACTCTTAGATGAATTACGTGCTTTCAGATATGTAGAATAATACCTGACATCATGCGACTCACACTGTGTGGGACTTAAAAATTGGATAAATAAGAAAAAGGATTTTTTCCTACACGATTGCTACGGGTGACATAGTATATGCTCTGCGGACTTAATTATTCTATATTAAATAGAATATTCTTTTGCAGCAGCAAACCTTCTTTTTTTTTCCTTCCATAGGTTCTTTTCGGAGTGTTCATTTTCCAATCTTTAAGCTGAAGCTATCGAATTGAAGACATTGGTCTAGATCAAAATCATTCTATATATACAAAAGGAAGGCACCTCTGGTTATTGACGATGTAAGTAGTTTTTTCATAATTATTAATTAGGAATAGTTGTTTTTTTTAAACTTTATTTATTTATTGATGAAACAAATAGTTATAACTAAGACAGGTCAAAAGAGAGCAAAGCCCCATTATTATCGTCCTGCCTAGCCAATAAAAATGAAAAAATACTAAGGAAAAT